CTTTTCTCTTGGTAGCAGGCTCCTCTAACTCAGGACGAAGACCCAGGGTGGACTTTTCCCTGTTTTTTAAATGGTTGGTTCTCAGGACACTGGCCCCAGTTCTCATTTATATACAAGATTTTCTCTGCTCTGTGACCACACCTATTGATCAGGGACGGCCCCATCTGTCCTCTGCCTTCACTCATACTTTCACCAGGTACCCTGTTTCTTTGCTTGGTTATTTCTACTCACATTTTCAGGCTCAACTCATATATTAATTTCTCCAGGACCTACCTTTGGACCAGCCATGACCAGACTCTTTTCAAGTTCTCCATTATAATAGGCCACATTGAAATTTTCTGTCTACATATATGCCTCCACCATCAGACTATGAGCTCCTGTCTTAGCCTTCCTTCCATCCCCAAACTATTTTGAACTTGCTACTAGATTCTCAATAAATGCCTGTTGAACTTAATTATACAGAACGCAGAACAGTATAATAATATTCACAACAATATGGTTTCAAGGACAGTTTTCCCACCTCTGGCCTGAGTATCATCCCTAAACCGCAACGTATATGCCAAGGCTCTCCCTCAGGAGAAATGCCTCCCCCTCTAATAGACTACCTGAGAGTCCACAGGGTGACTTAGTCCACAACTCCCTGGAACCATCTTGGGCCACAGCCCTGCTGTCAACCTCGACAGATCCAGGCTGTGACAATACCTCCAGCCTTATTCATGTTTCTGTTCTCCATGCAGGAGCCCCTGCCAGCTCGTCCCACCAGCCCCTAGTCAGAGGCTGCCACCTGCATCCCTGACCTGGATGCCTGTAATGATATGAAAAGCTTTACCGAAATATAAAACCTGAATTCACATCCCCACATATATATAGCTTTATATCATTTTTACTTTTGGTAATAGTAATCCATTAAAATGTCCTGTTATCTATTTTTTATAATTGAATATTCGAAATAAAGACTACCCTGGGTAATTCAAGATACGATTACCATAGCTCTAGGTAAAGCAGTTAGAAAAGGTGACTGCAGATAAGAGGGTCTGATGACAGTAATTCAGCTGTATTTGCGACGATGTCTCCCAGCTGGGTTCCTGGGAAGGGTGGTGAAGATGCGGATTCTCAAAAGGGGTGTCATGGGGAGGAGGTGGTCGTGGGACGAATCCAGGGCGAGCCCTCCCGAGCAAGCCCAGCCCTCCCTCCGCCTCCCGCGTGGCTGTTCCCGGTTGCTGCCCCCTGGCAGTGCCTTCTGAGGTGGCAGGTGGGTGGGCCACAGGGAGAGGCTGGGGCCGGCTCCTGATGAGAGCTCCCATCTGGTCCGACGTGCTTAGCTCCCGGGGTTCGCCAGGGCCCCTGCCTGTTCCCACTCCCCAGGTGTAAAGGGGAGTCCTAAGCTCTGCAGTCTGTCCCTACCTGTCTCACTTTAACTCGCGTGTTCTCTGTGTTACGTGCTGATTCGTCTTCAATGGAATGAGACGTTTTCAGATCCTCACTCTTGATATTTCCAACCCACCTCTGCAAATTAATGAGGCTGTGAGCAGCCGCAGGGGCTGGGTGCTGTGAATGACAGGCGGCACCCAGGTCCGGTGACAAGGCAGCACAGCTTCTCTGCCCGCTCGCTGAGGGCAGAGGCTGAATTATAACCTTTCTGAGACTTCATTTCCTCCCTTGGGAAGGAAGATATATTTGCTCTTTCCTGTGTTTGGGATATTACCATCTTCGACACGACAGAGATGACAATCATCATAAAATGAACCGTGGAAGTGTAAGGGGTACGGAAAGCTCTGTGGTCCCTGGGCAGATGGTGTCGCTGTATCCTGTGTGACATGCAGGGTGACTGCCGTATGCGGGCCACACGTGGCTCCAGTGTGCGTCCACTCAACCACATACTGAGCATTAACCTTTTGCTCGGCCTGGGGGGAGACAGTCACAAAACTGACCCAGCTCCAGAAACCTGGCTTCACACAAGTTTGGGGTCAGAAGAAAAATAAAGATCTGTTTCCCACTTGAAATTTGAAAGTAAATGAGGAAACTTCACCAACTCCAGCCCCAAACTGGAGCAGAAAACCAGTACAGCAAGCAAGGCATGGGCTTTCCAGTTAAGCAAAGCAATATTCCAATCTCAGCCGCATCCCTGATGAACCAGGTATACCAGCCAAGTTAGTAACTTCTCTGAGCCCCATTTCTTCCCTAAAAGACTGAGGACAGCGACATCAGCGACATCTCATTGGTCAGGTTGTTAGGATGAAATGAGCAGTAAGCAAAGCGTCTCAAACAATGCTCAGCACAGGGCAGTCAATCAACAACAATGCTTATCGATCACCTACTATACAGTGCAAACTGAAGAAGTCAGGCGCTAGATTAATGGAGTCGCTCCAATAATGTTGTTCCTGTTCATTGCAATGATTGTTAAAGATCCTTTAGACATATTATCTCCCAGTTTCCAGGACTCCACTGGGAAAGAGGGTCAGCATTCCTACACCTGACCCATCCACTTCCAACTAGAGTCACCCAACTAAATGTCCTGTGTTTCCCGAAATATTCTCATTTCAGATAACCTTGTCTGTGGCACTTCTAAGTGCCCTTGTACTTGTCACTGACCCCACAGCCTTCCTACAGGTGTTTATTAAGCACCTTCCGCAGGGAGCGGTGACCCAGACCCAATGCCTGCCCTCATGGGCATCCTTTTGGCCTTGGAGACATATCCCTCGGAGTCAAATCCCAGGTTCCCGGGCTGGGGCAGCACCAGCAGCATCCAGAACACGGTACTTCGTCCCTCCGAATCCCACGCTGGGATTGTCTGGTCTGCAGACAGCGATGCCACCGCATGGCCTCAGTCACTCGAGGTGGAAGACGAATCAGCCATGAATCCACAACCATGTAACCGTGTAGAAAACACCCTAGTGTTTCATCATTGAACAACTCCCAGCTTCCTCTGTTCTACTAGCATTGAGCTCCTGGCTGGAACTTTTTCTCCGGCCACCACCAGGGAGCCGTTCACCCCCAACTATACTCTGCGGTTGGACAGGGTGCCTGGGTGGAGGGGGTGCAGGTGGGCGCCTGTTAGGCTCGGGTGAAACTCAACAGAGAACAGGATGAACAGGGCGAAGCTGAGCATCGTTCTTAAAAGGCTGTGAGTTACTTATAAATACACGTCTCACACCTACGGGCAGCCCGCGGAACTAAGGCAGACGACAGACCGCTTTCATTGTGTGCATGCTACGCTTCAGACGCGTCTAGAAATCTCCATTGTCATCACCGTATATATCCATCCCAGGCATCCCGAGGCAGATTTTATTTTTATCTCCATCTTATAAATGAGAAAACAGGCTCAGGGAGGTTATCAGCAACACGTCCCATGANCATTGTCATCACCGTATATATCCATCCCAGGCATCCCGAGGCAGATTTTATTTTTATCTCCATCTTATAAATGAGAAAACAGGCTCGGGGAGGTTATCAGCAACACATCCCGTGCCNTAAATGAGAAAACAGGCTCAGGGAGGTTATCAGCAACACGTCCCATGATAGCAAGTAGCAAAGATTCTGGTTCCAAGTCAGGCCGGTGATGAAGCCACTTTTATACCAAATCACTCACCTGGCTGCGCTGCTCAAATGCCTCTGAACTTTTTTCCACAGTTCCCATAATTTTCCAAGTCCTCGCGTTACCCTTACAGTGGAAGGTCCCTGCTTTATTCAGTCAGGTGATCGTGGGTGTTAGTCACTCTAAATGCCTTCAGGGCAGCGTCACAGGTGCCTGACCGAGCAGCTGGGCGCCACAGCGCAGCCAAGGGGACCTGCAGCCCTGACCACCCCGGGCCTCCTCAGGCTCGCCCCCTCCTCTGCAAACAGGACCCGCTCCTCAGGCCTCAGTCTTAGACTCGGGCATTCTTACCGGGGCCCTGCCCAGGCCTGTTGGGCTGAAGTCTCGTGGCTTTCCATTTGGGGCCTGCCTCTGGATCCAGGGCCCCAAGCTTCTCATCCCCAGCCCGGCCCTGTGTCCAGTCCATCGTGGCGCCCTGACCCTCTGCTCATTCTGGGCTATGGGATTTAAACAGGTGAAAACTCCATTTGAAGGAATCATGGAGAACTTTCTGTGAAAGATGTGGCATTTTAAATAAGTAGCATTTCTGCTTCCCCCCTGATTTTTACTAATTATGCATTATTCAGTAGAGCTTTAATATTACTATAGCATAAAACTCTGTAAAAAGAAAACGATAACCCATAACCACACTAGCCTACAATAACCACCACTGACCTTTTAGAGTACTTCAGTCTTTTTCCCACACGTATAGTCACACCCAACATGGAATTTTATCATGTTTTCCCACTTCTTGTTATGAGCATTTTTGATGTTGCTACATAATCTTTCCGGCTGTCATGGTTCATAGCTACATAATTATTCGCTGAACTGAAGAGTTTTATTAACTTTACCATCCTGTTATCTTTAAGCAATGCCTGATTTTCTTCTTACAATAAATATGCACATCTTTGCACTGTAGTGGTCTTTTCCATCCCTTGAATTCTGTCACATAGACTTAAAATTGCTTGGCCAAAGAATGCATGCCTTTGGGGGCCTCTTGACATAGTATTTTTAAAGGTTGCATCAATGTCGGTGTAAATAAGGACCGGGGGCCTTCGGTCTCTGGAGGGTGGAGCTTTGACAGTGGGACATGAGGCCAGAAGGAAGACCTTCCAGCGCCGAAGCCCGAGCCTTGCGTTCTGCAAAGTCCCCGGGTGCCTCAGGTGACTGGTTTGTGTCTCTCACGTTTCAGACCGAGCAGCTGATCACGCTGTGGGTCCTCTTTGTCTTCACCATGGTGGGAAACGCCGCTGTGCTGTTTTCCACGTGGAGGCGGAAGAGNGGGGCCTTCGGTCTCTGGAGGGTGGAGCTTTGACAGTGGGACATGAGGCCAGAAGGAAGACCTTCCAGCGCCGAAGCCCGAGCCTTGCGTTCTGCAAAGTCCCCAGGTGCCCCAGGTGACTGGTTTGTGTCTCTCACGTTTCAGACCGAGCAGCTGATCACGCTGTGGGTCCTCTTTGTCTTCACCATGGTGGGAAACGCCGCTGTGCTGTTTTCCACGTGGAAGCGGAAGAGGAAGTCGAGGATGACCTTCTTCGTGACCCAGCTGGCGGTGACAGGTAGGCCGCTGCGTGGGGCAGGGACAGGAAAGCGGCTGCGGCTGCGGGAGGCCTGAGGCTTCTCGCCCTCAATTATTTTCCCAACAGAAACAGTAGACTGTCCGTCCAAAAGACATCAGCAAATTTGGGAGTAATTTCGATCGGGACATAAAACCCATATTTGAGTATTTCTTCCAGCAAATGTAACACATTGAAATATCTGTAAGATTCCATTACAAAAATAACTCACTATTTTCAACAGAGTTGAAAATACCAATATCAGTGCACCAAAGGGTTCTAGAAGGTTCCACTCTCCCTATACACAGCAGCCTCCACAGTTCACTAAGGTGATATGACCACATCATACCTATGAGCTTACAGGGGAGATCCCAGGAAATGGACCAGAATGATCTCTACTCAATAGTATGTGTGGTATCTCAAGTACTTTGCAGATTTAAGTCCATGGGCACTATGTTTGAAGTGCAAGTGACATGCAACACCACTGCTGGGCGTGGAATAAGGACATAAGATGATAACCAGGATCGGGATGCTTAAACGCGGGTTTGGGGAACGGCCAGTGTAGCTGAAGTATGAATGCATCGTGCCCAGAGAGGGAACGGAGTGGCCTGTGAAGGAAACGCCCCCTCAGAGATGGGTCCAGTTCAAATGGGTAGGAAAACATCTCCAAGGGGAGAGTCCGGTTCCGCCGATCAGAGGAGGGAATGTGCAGACGAGACTCCTGGAGGGTCCAGCCTAAGACAGGCTTGAAGTCCTGAGCTCTGGGAACAAGGTGGCTGTCATGTGAGTTGAATTTGAATCAGACAAATGCAAAAATAATAAGTATTAAGTGCTAACAAGAAGCGATGGAAAGTGACTGTCAGAAAGGGCGTCGGGTGCACTCTGGCCTCGTCGGGTTGCACCGGGTTGCAGTAACGGCAGTGGACAGTCTCTGGGAATTGTCTTGAGCCACAATATATGAAAAATACAACAGTGCAATTGCCAAGAGAACCTCGGCCGCGCAATGTTGGTAACCTGAAAACCCCCCTCTTACAAAGAGCAGCAGCCCATCTGCCCAAGCTGGGCTCCAGCAACCCGGGTTGAAAACAAGGCCCTGCCTAGAAGTATAAAGATGGCAAGAGGGGCCCTAAGAGGAGCCCGAGTCATGAGGTGGGACTTGTGATGGGAGGAAGCTACTTCCATCTTCCCTGCAAACGGGAACCCCATTTTTCATTCCTAGGGTTTTAAGAGTAAAGGGTAATCAGGACTATCCTGCAAATACTGAGATGCAGAATCCCTGGAGGGTGTAATAACTTATTTCATTATCTTTCTTTGATTACCATGTTGCAACTCACATTCTACACAGACGCGGTAAATGAGTTGGAATCAGATTTAGCCACAGGTACATAAGATCCAGAGAATGATGGTATAAGGATTTGTTTTTATCTCAGGTAAGGAATTCTAGAGATAAACAGTCAGGGTTCATAATGTGTTCCTTTGTCATGGGGGACCCAGGCTCCTCTTTATTTCTACTCCATGAAAAGAAATTCATCCTCAAGGTCAGCTCTTGGTAAAGAAGGTTCTTGGTTCAAGGTGGCTGCTGGAATTCCTGCCATCACACCTGCATTCTAGTCAATGGGAAGGAAAAGAGAAAGACAGACAAGAGGGGCCTACGCCAGCTACCTGCCCTCTTAGCTGGCATTCCTACCACTCCAGCCCCTTAACTTTTGCTTGCATTTCATTTGCCATCTCTAACTGAAGAAAAAGCCCTTTGTTTGCTATTTGCTGTTTGTTTTTAACCCGGGCCCATTGGCCACAATAAAATCAGCTTTCTTTTCATAGGAAAGAATGAGAGAATAGAGGTAAGGGGCAGTCTCTGGCATAGCGTGTCTTTCCTACTTCCATTGAGAAGGGAGCTTAGACAAAGGATGTCTGTTGACCACCCATTCCCCAGCTCTGAGGATGCTTCCTCCAGGGAGCCACGCTCTCTTCTTATGGCCTCTTCTCTCAGCAGACTGGTATCTGCCCAATCTCCATACACTGGAGTGGCCCATTAGATTGCTTCATTATGTAGGGAAATTATTATTGGCTGTTTAGATTTTTCCAAAGTAAATTTCCAAAATAAACTTCTCTCTGGGCAACTTTCAAAGATGCAATACAGTATTGTTTACCATAGTCACTGTGGTATATTTCATATTGTCAGCTGTTTATATTTTTCCAAAATAAATTTGGCTATTAAAACACATCTAAGCTATGATGAATATTTTTACAATTAAATCTTGTGAGCATTACTTATTATTTAGGAAAGTTTACAGACGTGGACTTACTGACAGGCTGGTGTGGCTCAGTGGCTGAGCATCAACCCATGAACTAGAAGGTCATGGTTCGATTCCCCATCAGGGCACATGCCCGGGTTTCGGTCTCCATCCCCAGCAGGGACCATGCAGGAGGCAGCCGATCAATGACTCTCTCTCATCATTGATGTTTCTCTCTCTCTCCCTCCCTCCAAAATCAATAAAAATATATATTAAAAAAATAAATTAAATAAAATAAAAAAGGAGCGGACTTACTGCATCAAAGAAAGACACTGGTGTGGCTTTCAAATTGGCTGATGTCTTTTTAGGTCACCGAGGACTCAAAGATCATGAAAAATGTCATAAGACAAATGCTCTAGAAGCCACCACCAGAGACGCACAGTCTTGTTTTAAAGCCTCCCTGGCTTGCAATGCTTACAGAGCCCTTACCGGTTTCTTCAGGGCAGGGATTCTCTCTGCTTATCCGTTAATGACACTTACACGCATACTCAAGTATAATTTGCTTATTTTAAAAGGAGCATTTTCTTCCATGCAGCCAGTGTATCGGAGAAGAATCCAAACCTAATTTGTCTTCTTTTGTCCCACGGCGATGACAGCAGTGCTCGTGCATTTGTGAAAACAAAGAGCACACCACTTACCAGAACATTTGGATGGAGGAGGCGTTTCAGTTTTGCACCTGTTTTAACTCACTTTCTCCTTCTCCACATTTCTGACCCATTCAAAAGCAGCCTCTCTCCGAATTCTTCTCTGTATCCAGTTGGGAGTTCAGCTGTAGGGTTACTCTTGAGGATAGAAGGAAACCAGAAGATCTCCAAGTTGCTGTTTCTGCTACTTCCGCAATTTTAGCACTTTTGATTCTAACGATTTTCTGGATGAATTTGATGACTGTTTATATTGATGAGCTGAAGTGCCAATTAAAATTTATTAGTCATTTATCATCTTCAAGACTTGTCTGTTTTATTCGAATACAGTAAAGAAGGGGGGCTGATGAGAGTAACTCCCAGGGAGCAGTCAACAAAGGGAATTTTGGGCACGCACCCAAATAACTTCCTTCTTCTGAAAGGGCCTCATCTTCTCATATTAGTAAAAGAAATTAGCTTTCCTCAAAGCACTTTCTGGACAGTAATTCACTAATGAACTGAGGAATTCTTCACCCTCAAACCCTCCCGCTCATTATCTGAAAACAGAAAGTTTTGAGGCTCAGCGAGGGAGGTGAGGCCAGGAGCGTGGAGGTCATGTGTGGAGTTCAATGTCACTTTTCCGTGCTGATTTCATTCACTTTTTTCCCCTGGGTTTTTAAATTACTTAATTCCTTAATACTTAATTCCTTATTTATTTTAATTCTGCTCATTCATTTTTTTCACTTTCATATTTTTTACCGGTATTGAGATAAAGTTGACAGAACATGTGTGTAAGCTTAAGGTGTCCAAAGCAATATGTATATATTAAAAAATGATTACCATAATAATTTTAGCTAGTATCCATCCCTTCACATAGTTGCAATTCATGTGTGTGTTAAGAAATTTTAAAAACTTTTCTTTGAGCTACTTTCAAATATATACTGCAGTATTGTTTACTACGGTCACTGTGTTATAGTTTATATCCCCTGAACTTATTGATCTTATAACTAGAAGTTTGTACCTTTTGACCAGCTTTACTGATTTCCCCTAACCCCCACCTCTGGCAACTACCAATCTGTCCTCTGTTCCTATGAGTTTGGGTTTTTTTTAACATTTCACATACAAGTGAAATCACACAGCATGTGTCTTCCTCTGTGTGACTTATTTCACTTGGTATATTGCACTCAAGATTTATCTATATTGTCATAAATTGAGATCTCCTTTTTCATGACTGACTCATATTCCGTTGTATATATCTACCAAACATTTTTTATCCATTCATCTGTTGATGGACAATTAGGTTGTTTTCATGTCTTGGCTACCGTATACAATATTGCCATGAGTGTGAGGGTGCAGATCACTCCTGAAGATGGAGATTTCACTTTATTCAGACACATACCAAAGTGTGAAATTGTTGGATCAGATGGTAGTTCTATTTTTAATCTTTTGAGGAATTTCCATACTGTTTTTCCATAGAGGCTGCACCAATTTACAATCCCACCAACAATGTCTGAGGCTTCCTTTTTCTCCACTTCCTTGCTAACACTGTTCTCCCTTTTCTTTTGTTAATAGCCATTCTATCACATGTGAAGTGATATCTCATTGTGGTTTGATGTGCATTTTCCTGATATTAGTGATGTTGAGCACCTTTCCACGTACCCGTTGGCCATTTGAATACCTTCTTTGGAAAAATGCCTATTGAGGTCCTATGACAATTTAAATGGATTATTTCTCTTTTGGTTATTGAGTTGTATGAATTTTTTATATACTTTGGGTATCAATCCCATATCAAATCGATGGTTTGTAAATATTTTCTTCTGTCTCATAGATTGCCTTTTCATTTTGTCGATCATTTCTTTGGCTCTACAGAAGCTTTTTAGTTGGATGCAGTCCCACTTATTGATTTTTGTTTTTCTTGTTCGCACTTTGGGTACCATATCCCCAAAATCATTGCTAAGACCAGTGTCAAGGAGATTCCCCCTAAGTTTTCTTCCAGGAGTTTTAAGGTTTCAGGTCTTACATTTGTCTTGAGTCTATTTGGAGTTGATTTCCGTGGGCAGTGTCAGACAGGGGCCCAGCTTCCTTCTTT